AGGCAGACAGCAGCAGTGCTGTGTGCTTGAGAAATGCTGGTACTGCCTGTAGTCAGCTGTGGTAACTATGTTCTTCCTTTGAGGTGTTTTCCTTGATGGAGGCAGGTCTGCTGCAAAAAGGTGTGTTTTGGGATTACTGATGCATGCTAAGTCAATATCATGCAAGGTTGCATTTGTGTTTCTGCATCCCCCTCCTTTTCTAGTGGAGATCTGGCATTACCGTCTACAGACTGCAATGGGGAGCTGAGCCCTGCCGACAATGAGGTTTAGAGCTGATGCCTGAATCATTACCAGTGTGGGTGTGAGTAGCCATGTGCAAAGAGTGCCCCAAGCCTGTTGGCTTACTTGGGGCTCTGTCCGAGAGGGTTCCCAGAGCCTATTGAATGAGTTTGAATGAATTTACAGGAATTCAGTTTGTGCTCAGCTGAATAAAGGTTCTTTGTACCAGATGATTCTGTGGTCCTGTGGGCCAGGAAATCATGCTCCATTGTCAAGATTAGGTCTGTCAAACATACCCATGAAATGTGCAAGCATCTGTTTCATGTACACACCCATCTCCATGCTTTGATGCCACTCAGTTTTCTCTGTCCCTCTGCAGTGCTAAACAACTTGTTTTTCAGATGTGGAGCTACTGCCCCAGAAGCGTAGAGACAGGCAGAGGTTACCAGATCTGACATGTTGTCCTGAGATTTGAATCACTGAACAAGCTCAGGCTGTCATGTTCCCCGCCAAGGGCTGGAGCAGCCATGTGGCACCTGCCCTCCTCTTTGGGCTGCAGGTGCCTGTGTCTGTGTCAGGCTTTGCCTGCAGCCACTGCAGAGGTGATCCACATTTATTACTCCTTGCACTCAGCTGTGGCAGTCAATCAGACCATAGGCATTTACTGCTAAGAAAAGTAAATGCTTCTGGCCAGCATTGTAAAATATGCTCATAAAGGACACTGGAAATTATTGTCTTTGCCAACAGATTTGTAAATATCAATCAGTAAGGTAGCCTTTTCTCTGTTCTAATAGTAATAAATACAATCTCCATGGCTGTCTCTTTTGTGAATTGTCTTTTTTGGGAATTTCTGCAGCATGATTACATCTGTGTGGGGCTGTACATTTCCACCTGAATGTCAGTGCCCAAGTAAGATTTGAGAATCAGCATGAAGTAAGCACTTGGAAACCATGCTGGTTCTGTTTTTCTTAATTCTCAGGCAGCTACCAAAGGACACCCAATTAATTGTGGAAGGGAATGTGTTGAAACAGGTAGAAGACAATACTGCTTTACACATATATTTTGGAGCCTTTCAGGGTCATAAAGGTATGAGAGAAGTTTATGGGCAATTGGAGGGTAAGAAGGATAGGCTTGTGTGCCTCCTCCAGTAGCTGGAAGTGCTGTAGGTGGACTGTTGGAGGTGGCCACACAGGCATCCTCTGCATGGTCCCCTGCAAGGTCTTTGCTGATGGAGATGTAATTAATTGGGTTGTTAGGCTGACCTAAGGGGGACATTTTTATGTTCAGACTGGAGCATTCTCTCATCTTTCCTCCACTGGTAATCCAAGGAACCAGTGGGAGCAGTGTCTTGGTGCTCGAGACTGGTGCTAGTTGCACAGTGTGGTGGAGTTGCAGGGCAGGTGCTGCCAGCTGTGCTACTTCAGTCACACAGGAATCAGTTCTTGCTCAGGCTCTGGCTCATGCTCCTGGTGCTCTGGGGGTGGTCATTGTCCTGTCACACTAGAAAAAGCTGATGCCCTTCAGACAAAGCCAGTGAGGGCTGCTCTGTCTCACCGGCAGTTTAGGATCACATACACTGGCCATACCACTGGATCCTTCCACCAGTCTGGCTGGCAGAAGCATTGTAGGGGGGCTATAGGACAAGTGAGCACAGAAGGAAGACCAGGAACACTGTAACCTCACACAGCCTTTTTTTAGAGGGATGTCTGCAGCCAATTTCTGAGCGTTCCCCAAAGCTTTTCTGTGAAATGAGCAGATTTTTGCCAAATCAGAAAAGGCCACAGGCCAAATGCTTCAGCTCAAGCTCCAAGACTCATGCTCACTCCTGCAGTCACCGTGGCCTGACACCTGGATCACTTAAAGAAGTGATGGCCAGAGCTGCAGCTAGGCTTGGAACAAGCTCATGGTTTGTTCTGAGCTTCCACGAGCAGTGCAGTCGGACCTGGTGCTGGAGGGCAGCTGGGACACAGCTCATTGAGAGGAGTCACCAGCAGCTTGTCCGTGTCCTGCTACTGGTTGTGAGAGAGTGATGTGTCCAAGTGGGGCCAGCACTCCTGCAAGTGCTGGGTGCTCTTGCTGCTGCTGTTGGATTTCTGGCTGGTTTGAGTCTCCTTTTCACAAAGCTTTGTGAGAGTTTTTTGCTATGCCTGCAAATGTAAATGGTAAAAGCAATTTTGCACATGGCAGCTGATAGACACCATTCCCATGTGCCACCTCAGCTTCTGAAAAGGTTGGGCAGATATTGGGGATCACAGGTGGATTTTGGACGGTTCAGCTTGAGATAGGGGAAGGGCTTAGCTTTGGCAGCTGCCTGATGTTTTATGGGACAGGGTAACCACAAGGACACTCCTCCTGGTAGAGAAGTTCCCCACTGTCTCTCCTCCCCTTGCAAATGTGAAGGGTCTCCCTGCCCTTGTCCACCAGAGATGCTCCATTTCTTTCTAAAACCAGAGTCACAGAGGTTCTGCCACCTTCTCAATGTTCCAGGGTAATGAGAGGCCAGTTTTTAGCATAATTCTCATGTAGGTTTTTAGTCCAATCCTTGCATGGAGCTTTGCTCTAAATCAACCCTGTGGGAAGGCAGAGACCTGAGGAACAGGTAGGTCTGCTTTGGGAGCCTTGCAGCACTGTCAGGAGGCAGAGGTGGGAAGCTTCCTGTCCTGATGCTGCCCCAGTGTAGCTGGTTTGATGTAGGTGCAGCACAGCACTGGCAGATTCAACAGAACTGGCCCATGGAGATAGTGCCAAGCTGGGGCTGTGGGGAGCCAGGCTCTGGCACACCCATGGTGTCTGTGGGACACCCACCAAAAATAAGATGGGAAAAGTTGAATTAGATCCTGAGGTTGCTGCTTTTAGAGCTCCTGTTTTACACCATTTGTTTGCCATGGTGTGATAGATTGGCATTTAAGAAAACAAAGAGAAACACCTAAGGAAGTTAAACCTGCTGGAGGCTGATGGGAGTTTCTCTCCTGGCCAACAGCTGGCCATTTCTAAGAATTGACAGCAGTTTTGACCATTGAAAAGTGAGATCAATCTGTGAACACCACCTTAAGACCGAAGCCTGGGAATTTCTAGCTGTCTCTTGATTTCCTGGCTGTGAAAGGTAACTGAGCTTTAGCTGGCCTCCCGTTCCCCTGCCCGGGCTGGGCTGGGCCTGCCGCGGCTCCCGGCCCGGAGATGGGGCCTGCGGGGCTTGCCCCGGGCTCTGGCCGGGCCAGGCCGGTCCCTGGCTCGGCTGCAGTTTTTGCTGTGACTGAATTCACCAGAGACTGTCGAGTAAAGAAAGAAAAAAAGCTCTTGCCCTGCAGTGGGCTGAGACAGTGACCACACTCTCCAGAGCAGCCATGAAGAACCTTCCATCGCAGACAACTCCAGCCACCGCTCTGGCAGAGATCACAGAACCAGCTACAAGGCCTGGGCAAGATTTTAACCCTTTCATTACCCAGATGAGACTTGCAGATTAATCCTTTTTTTTCGAGAGATAGAAAGAGAGAGTAATCAACATGTAAATAGACTTTATAAACTATCAGAGACCGTAAAGAAAAGAATTAAGCTTCAGAAAAGGTAGAGAATAAGGAAATGCTTTAATACGCTGAAAATATTTTTCTGTTAAAACTATGGAGATGGACAATAGTGTTCTGAAAAAAAACTCCTTTAATCCATGACAGACTATATTGCGAGGAATGGAGTAGTTCAAAGTGTAGAGAAAATGTGAAGTAGTTTTGATACAGTGAGGCGCTGGAACAGAGGGGAGAGAAGTAATAGTTGAAGATTTGTAGCTTTGTAGAGGCAAAGAGAAAACTTCTGTTTCCAGAGAGGCTCACAGAGACAGATGAAGAGAGCTTTTGCCTTTGAATAACTCATCCTTAAAAATGACATCCCTAGACTCATTTGACCCATAACACACCGCAGAGTGATGTGAAATGGGAGGAGACAACTGATGACAGATTTTCAGACAGCTAGCATCAGAGAAATAGAAAGCTATGAAGAAAATTAGTTTTCTTGTGAGAAACTTGATAGATTAGCAGAAAAGGACTTCTGTTTCTCTACAAAGACTGATGAGAAGACTAACAAGAACTGAGACTGCTTTAAACACCGAAGTTTTTTTGTCTCTATGTTGTCATGTGAACAAGAGAATGGTTGGGTAGTGAGGGAGAAAAGGATTTTCTGAAAGTTTTATTCTGGTTTTCTTATTCTTGTAGTTTTGTTAATAAACTTTCTTTACTCCTTCTAAGTTTTAAGCCTGTTTTGCTCTTGTTCTAATCCATATCTCACAGCAAGAAATAAGTAAGTTTTCTAGCAATTTTTTAGTTACTGCTTTAAAACCACAACAGTAGGAAAGGAAGGAGCCAGATCACTTGTACCCCACAGCAGCCTGACCCCTTGCACAGGAGCTATGCTGTCCCAACAAACCCTGCTGCAAATTTTTTTAGAGAGTTCTCATCACTGCAAGACACTCCTGCCTGTCCCCTCTCCTTCTGTTTTAGCACCCAGAGCAAAGATTATCCTTTGATGTGTATTTTAAGGGTATCTCACACAAAGATGGCCTGGCCCAAGCTGGGGACATTCAGGCAGTACTGAAAGCAGACAGCTGTACCCCAAGAAGAGGAGGGCACATGGCAGTGATTGGTGGCCTGGCAGTACTTCGCCCCAGTGCTGCACTCTCCTGGGGCAGCACAGCACCCTCCTGGGGAAGCATGGTTCCCAACCTACCTGACAGGGCCTGCCTGGCAGCTAAATTCACCCATTAGATATAAACAGAGAAAGATGAAGCTCTCCCCCTACCTGGCAAGATCTTTCCTCTTCTCCACCGCACTGTCCCACTTGCCCTTATCCATCTCCTGGAGGACGGCCATTTGGATGATGGTGCTTCTGTCACCGCTGCCTCGGTGCTCCTGGGCACAGCAGTCAGGCTGGGAGCTGCCCTTCATGGCCTGGAGCTGTGCCAAGGGCACAATGTCACAGCCCTGGGGCCGGTGCCACACTGTCTGCCGTGTGATGGCATTGTAGTAGTAGAAGCGGTTGTTGTTCTGGTCAAAGAGTTCCCACCACTGCTTCTGGTCTGACTGGCGCACCTTCAGGTTGGGAGGGGGCTCCCAGCTGCACTCCCCAGTGGTCAGGTTCACATACATCCGCTCCTGGGAGCGGGGCTCGATGATCTCCACCCAGTCTGAGCTGCAGGGACACAAAGAGCCACATTAATCTGGGCCAGAAACCCAAAGCAAACATCTTGTCTGTCCTATAGAGCTGCTGCCACTGGGCCAGGCAGCCTGCCTGCAGATCAAAGCATTGCTTGGGGCTACTGAGCAATCTAATGATCTTAGGAGAAGCCAGGACAAGGGCTTGAGTCTGGCTGAGACAAAAGACCAGTTCTTTGGCTCAGGGAAGGGGAGGTCACCCCCACTAGCCTGGCCCACTCACTCCCCACTCACCAGCACAGAACTAACACAAAGGGTTAGTTAGCATCTGCTGATGCTGGGATGATTCACATCAAGGGCTGGATGGTTGCAGGAGTGTCAGTGCCTGGGAGATGTGCAAGGGACTTGACTTTCAGGAGCAGGGAGTATCTGCAGAGCAGGATCTGCTCCTTTTGAGAGCTACACATTCCACCTGGGGAGACCAGACCTCTGGGTCCCATGGACTCTGCTCGGAGTCCACAGCTATCTGTCCAAAAGGCATATGTGGGGAATAAGTGGTGGATAAGACTATCTCCACTGCAGGCTCTTCCCCCTCCCCCTTGGCTGATGGAACAGAGCCTTCAGCAGGGTATAAGGTGATGCAATGGACAGGCCCTACTGCTGATCCACAACCCTTTTGCAGCCCTAGAAAATCCCTTGATCCCCTGGGTTCTTTACCAGCACCCATGACGGCCCAGTCAGTGAGAGCAAGGCAGGCAGTGCTGTAGTACTGATTTTCAGGCAGATTAGCACAGGGGTTTTGATGAAGAGGTGTTGGGTTGCATAGCCATCATACATGGCACATCAACCTTATCACTGACACACCAAGCCTTAAAACCCTGGCCTGAGGAGCTTAGCAAAGCCAAAGCCTCCCCAATGCAGTAACCCAAACCATTTTGGATAGCCCCAGGCAAATGAAGGAAGGGAGTGCAAACCCAGCAAGGTTTCCCTCTACAAAGGAGAGAAACAGCCTAAAGCGATCCTGAGCCCAGTTGTATGCTCAGCATGCTGAAAAACAACATGCACCCCTCAGCTCCTACTCCCACCTCCCACAGCCAACATCCCAATGTTGGTGGAAGCTGCAGGAAGGAGGGCCTAGTTAACCAAAGCTATTTTTGTTATTAATAAAAGCACTATGAAGAGGACAGGTCCAAGGCACCCCTTGAAACCTGTTCCTTCCCTCGAGCTCACTCTGACACAACCTCCAGCTGCTTTCCAGCAAGGGCATGACAGCAGAAGCCATTCCCACAGCAGAAGCAGGAGAAGGGAGATCCCACTGCATCCCTCTCACACTCTGAGCTACCAGACTGCAGGTCCTCAGAAGAGTCAGAAGTGATGGTGGAAGCACTGCAGTGCTCAAAATGGCAGCCTGGGCTCCTGTGCCCAGCCCTGCTGGTATGGTTATGGGAGAGGAGGCAGTTCCCGGCATGGCAGTCCAGTCTTTGGCTCTGCCCTGGCTTTCTGAGGAAGGTCAGCATATCTCCTACCACCAGGCAAATTTGGGTGAGGGTTTAATTTCCCACTGCACTTCTCTGCTAGGAAAACTGTGGGTTTGATTGACAGCAATCAATGCTGAGCAGTCTGGCATGCACCCATAAAAAGCAGGCCATTCCTCAACTCCCTGAGGATTCAAAATTGATAGGTACAATGTCAAGTCAACACAAAGTAAATGTAAACTGTCTCTGAAAAGGTCTAATTCCCCTGCCACAATACCGAGCACAGACACTATGCAATGCTGACCTCCAAGCATTCTCATGGAGGGCTGATGGTCAGGCTACCACAGACAGGCTGGTTGGGAAAGCTGCTCTGGGTGAAGGCCCCTTCATTTGTGTCATAAATCGGTTTTCAGGCAGATGTGCTTACCCACCCCAGACTACCACCATCACAACTGTTCACACTGACAAACAAGGAGCTGGGAACAGAGCACACCACCTTTGCCCATGGCGCCAGTTCCTGATGGTCTCCCACCACCACCAGACAAGGCACTGCTAAGAGTGTGCTTGCAAATAGATCCCACTTAGAAAACCCAAAATTCAGAAAACTTCTGGGGTTTGTGGTTTGCTGGTTTTGAGTCAAAACAACTTAAGTTCCTCTATTTGATTTAAGGTTGTGCTGGTTTTGCATTAATTGATACTTGGTGAGGAGCAAAGAAGCCACTCAGGGAAATTATATTTCTGAGAAACTGCTAAGAGCTTCCTCTGTGCCTGGAAAAAAACAATAGCTCTGAGAACTAACAACCCTTTAGAAGCTGTGTCTGCCTCCGTGAATTTCACATTTTAAAGACAGGCAAGCCCAAGAAATTTCTCTCTTCCTTCCAGCTTTGAAGAGGTACCTGGGTGTCGGTTGGGCCAGCCCTGCTCCACCATAGCCTGTGTGGCCTGGCAGAGCCAGGCAGACCCCAACGGTGGCCAGGCTGGGGATGGGAGGCTGTGGGGCCCTGGCTGCTAACATCTTGCTGACACTAAGCCCAGGCTGGGGTCTGCTGGGCCCTGGGAGCGGCTCCAGGGCAAGCCAGGCCCCCTGTGCCGCGGCCCCAGCAGCTGCCAGGCAGAGGGAGGTGGGGCCCGTGTGGCCTGAAATCCAACACTGTGACTGCTGCGGCCACTGCCAGCAGAAACCATCATGATCATCTGCAGGCCTGAGAGATATTAACTCTCCCAGTGCACAGATGAGACCTACAGACCTTGATCTTGGGTGAGAGAAAAGCACAGTGAGGACATGTAGAGGACAACATGAAGACATCAAGGTTAGTAAAGGAGGAGTCAAGTCCCAGATAGAAGGAGAATGAGGAGATGCCCTCATTCTTCTGGTAAGGCCATGGAGATGGATTATGGTACACTAAAATATCCCCTTTAATTCATGAGAAAGTATGGGGGGATGAAGTGTTCAAATTGTTGATGTGAGAAGAGGCATTTATAATGAAGCAAAACAGATGTTGAAGTAGCTGTGATCCCAGGAGAAGCTTGAAGAGAGAGAGAAATAAGAGTGATGAAGACTCTTTGTCCCCAGGGAAAGTAGATCTCTGTTACCAGAGATGATCACAGATATAGATGAAGAGAACCTCTGCTTTTGAACAGCTCATCCTTAAAATAATACCCCATAAGCTGACATGGCCCATGAACTCAGCTGTGGGAAGGCTGTGAAAATGGGAGGAGCTTCACGATTGAAGATTTTTTTTCCTCTGGGCAGCTGCTATTTGTGGAAATTAAAAGCCACGAGAGAACTGTTTCTTGTGGAGAAGTCTCCATGGCATGGCAAAAGAAAAATTCTCCTTACAAGAACTGATGAAAGACTATTGTTGAGGTGGTAACTGACTGAAAATCTCAGATTTTGTCTCTTCATTGTCAGCTGGGAAAGAAAAGAAGTTGGGTTTGGGGAGGAGAAGTGTTCTGAAGGTTTTATTCTGATTCTTATTATTCTTCTAGTTCTGTTAATAAAGGTTTTTTTTATACCTTTTAAGTATTGAGCCTGCCTTTTCCTCCTCCTAATTCATACCTCACAGTAGGAAATGAGTAAATAATTCTAAGTAGGTGCACAGGTGATTTTCTCTTGCGCTAAACCCACTATTTGGTGCATTGGCCAGGAAACTCAAATCAGCAAACCTAAACCACTACAAAGGTGAACACAGCCATACCAGCACCCCATGTCCCAGCTCACATTGAGAGTTGCAGAACCAACCCTGTTCTTCCCTTGCAGTTGCAATGTCAAACTGCAAACAAGCAAAAAAAAGGAATTCAAAGACATCAGCAGAGGAAACAAGCATAAACAGGGTATAAAATGGAAAACCAAGAGCAGCGGCAGAGCCCAGCAGTTCTGGGAGCAGAGCACAACAAGCAGGTTTATGGAGAGAGAAACTACAAAGTGTGGGTTGGACAAGGAACTAGCATGGAGGATTCAAGGGAGAGCTCCAAGGAACGCAAGGGGAGTGGTGTCCGAGAGCACCCCAACTCTTCACAAGGATAGACAGACAACAGGAAAAGGGGTAGAGAGAGCTGAGAGGGATACTTAGACCCAAGTGGCTCACTGGCAGCTTCAGAGTGTGGGGAGAGGCTGCCACCCATGCAGGAATGTGAGAGAGCTTCACCCAAATGTGGGGGCATGGCCTGCCACTCTTGGGGCAGAGCAGGTGCTGGAAGGGCTGGAAGAGGAAAGCAGTACAAAAACACACACAAATATGAGCCTGGGAGAAAGACCAGAGACAGTTCTGGAGGGTTTGACTGGCAAGGAAATAAAAATACATAACACCTTGCAAGACCCTGAGTAATCACAAGTCACTTGAGCCATCAGCCTTAATGCTTAAGAGTGCACTGTGTTTGATCTGTTTTGCTAGCAAATAGGTTAGCAAAGCTTCAGAACACCAATGGTTGTACCCATGCTGCTGCTCCTCAGCAGAGAGGTCAGCTACTTTCTGTTAAGTGCAAGCTACTGAAAATAAATTCTTCTCATAGCACTTGGCCATAACGCAGTGTATGTTGCTAACTACAGTTTTCCATTTTAACAAGCTTACATTCAGCTTTGTGTGCAAATACACTTTAGTGGATGACTTGGGTGGGTGACCTCTTTGCTCCCTTTAAAATTAAGGGGCTGAGGATGACTGAGGTAGAGCTTAACCAGGTAAAAAAAATCTGCACAAAATACACTGAAATACTAAAGAGTTTGGTACAGTCACACAGAAAGAAGAAAAGCAAGGATCACATTCCTGGAGCAGGGCCAGCCTCAGGCTGCCACAGAAACCTCAAACATAACATGAGGAACTCTGGAAAGACATCATAAACCAGAATTACAGAGGTAAGACCATAATTTGGACACAGAAAAAAATATTAATTCATATTCCACTTTACAAGGTTAAAGAAGTTTCCTGGGGATAGTTTAAATAATGCTTTTCCCCGTCCTTTCAGGGATGCAGCAGCCACAGAGTGTGCGCCCACTCCCACTAGCACTGCAGCACCTGCTCCCACCAGCAGGATCACAGCAATGGTTTTAGTTCATCTCAGGTCC